CCGGGGGCGGGGGCGGCGCCGTGCGGGCTGCGCGCGATCCTGCGTGGCGGTGGCGCACAGGGGCCGCGCTGCCCCCCGAGGCCCGCCCGTGGGCCCGGCCCGGGCGATCCCTTGGCGGCCCGGCGCAGCCCTCCCGCCGCTGCCTCTACGCGGCGCAGGCCCAGATTGCCGCGGCCCGGCGACGTGGCTCGGGAGCGCAGCCGTGGCGTGTCTTGAGGGCGAGGGTCGTTCGTTCCGCTAGGATCAGCCTTGCGATCGAAGTAGCCCTGCGCCTCCGCGCTGCGGAACCGGGCTTGCTGAGGCGCTGCGGGGAAGGACGGCGCCCCCGCAGGGGCCCCAGCGGCTGCCTGGTGCCAGACTGCCGAGCTGGACATGCAGCTCCCCCTCCACTGGGTCTTTGGGACCCCCCCCCCTTGTTACGTTTTACCGCCCTGCCTTTGCTTCGCTCGCTTCTGACGTTGGAGCTTTTCCCCGAAGTTGGGGGTTGGCTGCAGCGAACTCCTCCAAAGGTACGAGACGGATGTTGCTCCCCTCGCCTGGGTGCCTCCGCTCTCCACGCTTGCCTTGTCCTTGGATGAGAGGTGGTGCTAAGGCGCTGCAGTCCAGTCTTCGAATTCTGTATTGTGATGCTTGCCTCTCTTCGGTTGCTTGGGTCTTCTCTGGCTTTTAGCTAGGATCCTCAAGCTCAACAAGCAGAGAGCAAACCAAATGTGAAGTATAGGGCGAGGGGTGGACATTGTGCCGCTGAATGGGCACTCAATCAAGGATTTGTTTTCTCCGTATCAGAACCGAGTTTAGACTCCTCTGATACAGAGTTCCACTCCTGATTTCTTGGGCGCCTGCTCATTTCAGCAGTAAAATTGGCACTGTGTGGTGGTAGGGCCCTTCCTGTTGCTCTTGGGAGTTCAGGAGGCTGGCTGCCCGATGCCGTTCGTCCAGATACCTACCATTAATTCCCTACAAAAGGTTTCATGGCACTTCAAGGCTTATTTATTCTAGCATTCTCACAAATGCTCCTAACGTGTAAATATTTGAAGAAGAACATCTGGTTCTCCTTCAGCCCTATTTCTTATCAATTCACTTGTAGACGTTGCTGACTAGTTGCTTAGCTGTTGGGCACATTTTAACATAGTTATTTAAATCGTTTAGTTTGCAGGACTTGCTGATGTGTCAATATCAGAAGACATTCCTGTTGAGGGAGAAATTACCGTTCCGGTGGGAGCTCATTCCCCTGATGAAGACTTCTCCACACTGGATGAGCCAGTTAAGGATACAATTGTAAGTATCTTGATGAGGGTAGAGAAGGAGGATGGAAATTGCTCGCTCAATGAATATTTTAAAATACCTCTCCATACGTTTCCAGTTATTGACTTCTGTGCTAAATAGCTTGACCTCTTTGGGGAAGGTATAGTTCCATACCATGAATTCTTGCAAAGCACTAAGCATTACTCACTTTCCGCAGGCATACAACAGTCAGTGTCTTAATGAGCAAGGTTGGAAAAATGGCGGTGCTTAAGAATCTTGTTGCTGTTTTCCATCCTTCCACAGGAATGGTACCTAGGCATTTGGAATGATTTCTTACCCTTCTGTAGGAATCAGTGAAAAAGATACATTTTATATCTTACTTGCATTTAGTGCATCTACAGCTAATTAATTCAAATGTAGTTTGCATCTTATTAAATGTTCTTTGGGCTAAAAACCTTTGCTGTAGAGTAACATAGATAATTGCTTGACCTTTTCAGATGCGAGATCTAAAAGCCGTTGGGAAGAAATTTATCCATGTCATGTACCCCAAAAAGAGCAGCACTCTCCTGAGAGACTGTAGGTACCAAAGTAGTTTCAAAACCTTAAAAGCTGTAGAAGTAAATCTGAAAGCCTTTACTGCTGCCACATAGGCAGAAAGGAGTGTTTAAAGGCAGAGAATGGGCAGAGAAGGATGGGGGCTGGGTGTTTGAGTGGGACAAAGAGAAGCGTGAGAAGCTCGAGATTTGGAGTACCATGCGAGCGTAAAGTGATTGCCTGCGACATTTGACATGCCCTTTGTCTCTTTTCCTTGCAGGGGATTTATGGGGACCATTAATCTTGTGCGTGTTGCTTGCTCTGTAAGTACTTGTGCCCCCCCCCCCCCCGGTCTTTGCTGCTATTTTGTGCGTTGGGACAAATGGCCAGCATGGCTGTAGCGCCTGCTGGAATAAATGTAAACTACATTCTCTCTGAGGACCAACTGCGTGTGCTTGTGGTTGTTCCGTTTTGTAAAGCAGAGACGACACAGCACTTCACTGTCCCTTAAAATTGTGACAGTGTTAGTACAATGCAACGAATCATCAAGAGCAGCTGCCACTGTGGGTTGTTTTGGCATCTGAATCTGACACGTTCTCCTTAGGGTGCCTTATTTTCACAACAGGTAAGGGACTCTGAGAGCGCGTGGCTTGTTAAAGGATCGCTCATGCCCCTGGTTGGCCGCTGTGCCATCCGGAACCGGGGGAGAGCTTTTCTTGTAGGCCACAAACTACATGGCAAGAGTGGGCAAGAATCCATGCTGCTCTTCATGACCTCGCCAGTGCTGCCTCCGGCACCCCTCCCCAGGTACTGCCGTCCTGCCAGTGCCAAGACAGCACCCTGGAAAGACCGTCACTCATTCACCATTTTTTCTTTATCACTGCCTCAAAATTGCGCAGGTGGGGGTCATAATTTTTAAAATTTCTTTGCCTAGTCTTTTGCAAGTGCACAAAAGCAAGCTTGGCTATCCAATAGGTGGTGTTTTGCCTAGACAATTCGTTGTATGTTTCAGATGTCAATGGGAGCTGTGAAACTGTGTAGGTAGCAGGGTAATAGGCCAGGAAATGGACAAGACGAAGCCGCGTACGGGTTAATTTCTGCACTGTTGTGAAGGGCCACTGGAGTGATAACTGAGGGAAAGGTGGGCCCAGTCACGAGGTGGCCCGGTTGGGTCGTGCAAACCGGGCCAGTGCTTTCGTTCAGCTCCTCTCTGCCAGCAGAGTGACGGAATGTGAACGAAGCAGTGCCGGGACAATAAGGCCTAGTTACATACCTGAAGGATTGCGATGCTATCGGGACACTAAAGCGTGTTGTTTAGGTCCAGTGTTCAGCATTCTTGTGGGCCTCCTCCAGTGAAGGCCAGCTGCACACCGCTGTCCTGCGGGCTCAGGTCCCGAGGGGGCATGGAGCCTCTTGGGTTGCCAGGCCTTTCCTTTGAGGGAGGTGATCTGGACCATGAGAAAGAACCAAGATGAAATACAGCAGAGGTGCATTCCAGTCTTGCGGTGAGCAGTTTCTCTTCGCTGTTCCTTAGGATGCTGCAGGGAGGAGCAGCGAATAACACCGATGACCGAGGGCCTCAGTTCGCAGAAGTGTTTGTTATCGTCTGGTTTGGAGCAGTCGTCATAACACTCAATTCCAAGCTCCTTGGAGGAACCATGTAAGTGAGGCGGGATTCTGTGGTCAGCGTGCTCCCCTGCTGCCGGGGTCCCCCGGAAGCTCCTCGCGGGAACACCTGGCCTGCTGCGGCAGATCCCTTTTGCACAACAGAGCGGTTGCGGACTGTGGGGGTTCTTGGTCTGAGGACGGCCGGCGGGAGGCGCCTCCTTCCTGCTGCCTGCTTTCAAATCGGGGAGCAGACCAACTCGTGCGCGTCCGCTCAGTCCGGCAGGAGGGGAGGGGCTGGTGGGTGGGCAGCAGGTGCGTCTTGCGAGCGGAGGGCATTTGCCGCCCCCTCGACCGCCACAGCATCCTAACTCTGAGCAAATGGCCTTGCGCAGATTCATTCCTGCAGAGAAGAAGTTCATTTTCCTTTTTGAGAAATAGGAATTCTGCACTTCTTGTGGCATGATCTCCTTCTGGACTTTTCATGTGGCTATGCCTATTTCCATGTGGTTTTATTTTAGCTGTCTATATCCTTCCCTTTCGCACGCTGCTCTGCCCCAGCTCCGTAACCGTGCACTTCTTAATGCCAGGTGGTGACAGCTTCCGCACGGAGCGTGAACAGCCTGTTGAAAGGGAGGTGCTCTCCAGGCGCTCAGGAGCTGGCCGCCCCTGCTCTGGGTGGAACCCAGGCCCTTCCCTTTCCCCGGCTGGCCCTTCAGAGTTAACGTGCGGTCCCTCCCCCTGCCCCTTAGCTCTTTCTTTCAGAGCCTTTGTGTGCTGGGCTACTGCATCCTGCCCCTGACGGTGGCCCTGCTGATCTGCAGGCTCGTGCTGATGGCACACGACGGGACCGGCGCCTTCGTTGTGCGGCTCTTGGTGGTGATCGCCATGTTCATCTGGTCGACGCTAGGTGAGCTGGGGTGGGGTGCCGCCTCGAGCGCCGCTGCGCGGCTCCCAGCCGAGGCCACCCGAGTTCGATTCCCAGCTCTCTGAATCACTGTGGCCGCAGCTTTCACGCAGCAGGGCCTAGAAGATGAGGAACCGATGTGTTCTCCAGGGAAGGCCTTTTTTTGGTGGGACGGCTGGTTTTACGTTTCAGTTTACTTCATTGTCCTGTCAGGAATATCTTTTGCTTTTACTGAACGGGAAGAAAAGGCCGGTGTGAATCACTAACTTGCATTGGCTTTGCATGATGGGATCCCATTTGACCATCGTCCTGTGGACAGGTGTCCGTGGACAGGGTTCCTATTGTGGTTAAGGATGTTGAGTACAACCACAAATAAGCTGAGATTTAGACTCTGTTCCTTCAGTTGGAGTTGCGTCTCAGCACTCATGGCGGATTGTGTTGGTTGCTATGCAGCGTACGCAATCTTTCTGCAAAAAGAAGTGTTCGCAGTGAGTCAGGGTAGCTAATTTGGGGGCGACTGTAGATTCAAAAGTAGCACGTCATAGTTAGCCCCTGCCCTCCCGCGAGTGTCCTTCAGCAGGCGTTCCTTTGTTCCTTTCCAGCCTCGACAGCCTTCCTGGTGGACAGCCAGCCTCCGAACCGCAAAGCCCTGGTCGTCTATCCCATCTTCCTTTTCTATTTTGTGATCAGCTGGATGATCCTCACCTTTACACCCTAGCGGGTGCCGAATCAGCAAGGACTGCAAGACTGAATGACGGTGGCTTCTGGTATTTCCGGGGAACTGTCTCTCGGCCGTTGGCTCGCCCGCACGTTCCCTTCTAATTTATATTTATAGCGTGTCTTGTGAAAAGACGGGCACCCCAAGGCCAGAGCCAAGGACTGCGATGAATGTCACACCCACGTTCCTTGTTCCTCACAGAGCACTACTGACGCCTCTTCCTTCCTTTCCTCTTCTGCTGCTCTTCTCAGTGTCCACTCTGGGGCATCCGTGCCCCACTGGCAGAATGCTGGTGACGGAAAGTAGCTCAATAAACTCCTACCTTGGCCTCCAAGTCCATGGCTGAACAGACATCCAATACCTGAAGTTAACCAGTTTACTAGGTTTCCAGTCATCTGTTGTCATATCATGCACAATTAATGTTTGTTGCCTTGTGTGTTTTAGAATATGTGTTGGTTTTAGACAGGAGATGCCTCAAAATTCCAGAGCTCTCTGCAGTTGGAAGAAGGGCGCTCTCTCTCGTCCCGTCTCCTGCCTGCTTTCCACCAGAAGAGCCAGATGCAACATGAGCTCTGGTGCATCAGAAGGTTGTTCCACCGAGCCAGAGGCATCCAGTGCGTTCTCTGTATTCCAGTCCACATGGGGGGTCGTTGCACTTACCACCTGCGTCGATCGCCTGCAGAGGAGTCCCAGCACAGTGGGAATCTGTGTGTGGTCTGGCTGATTTGAATGCTTCCACGACCCGCGCTGTGCTAACTCCGCTCTGTCACAAAAGATTCTGCCCTGCAGAGTGCGTAACGTCAGGCTCAGATGCCTGATCTGGGGCAAACAGGAGTGTTGGGCAAAATGGATTCAATGGCTTTGGTGGCTTGGGGTTTTTGAGAGCATCCGGGCCCTGGCTTCTCTACGCTGAGACAGCGTGTCTAGGAGAAACGCCTGTCCTTCGCCTGCATCCTGCCATCCATCTCCATGGAGATGGCTGATTTTCTGAGCAACCTCTGCAGGAAAAGAGGCAAGTCTGGCCGGAAAATGCGTCCCCGTGCAGGAAGGTACTTGGTGCGCACAGTGCCTTTCTGGTGCTTTGTCACGGGTTGGGAAGACAAGCGAGGCCGCTGCCCAGCAGCAGAGCCCCTTGGTTGAGGGTCGGGGCCTGATGGGAGGGGCAGTAGCGGCCGCAGCCGCAGCTGAATGCAGTGTGGCAGTTTCTGGCCATGAAATGTGCTCTTTGCTCTTCAGCAGCAAAAGGTGTGCTTTGTAGCACACGAGCTGCTTTCCTGACCTCGCTGCGGATGCCTGCCACTGTTAACAACAGGCTCAGTTTTGAGCTGCCCTTTGGCTTCCCCCCACCAAAAAGACCAGCCACCGGGCACCCGCCTCCTCCTGAAGCAGCCGATGCTCTTGGCCCTGGTAGTTCAGGTCCGAGGTGCCGCTTCGCTCCTTTGCCGCCTGACATGGAAAGAACAGGTTGGAGCGATGGGCATATGCGCCGTGTGAGCGGCCCACGTTAGGTTTCGCGTGACCGTCTGCAATAAACTCGGCATTTATTTGCGCAGGCTCCACAGGCTCTCTGCGTAGCGAGGGCCTGCCGGCTCTCGCGCGCTCAAGCGGCCAGCCACCGCTCGCGGGCCTGCTGGTGTTGACGGCAGCTCGCCGGCCCAGGCAAATGGTGGCTGGTGTCACAGAGACGTCCTCGGAGCGACCCTCCCTCACCTGGCGCCCTGCAAATAGGTTGGACTCCAGTCCCCAGCATTCCTGCCCACTGTTTGTGATGGCTGGGGCTGGTGGGAGTTGAAGTGCAAAAGTCTGTCATGGGAGGCAGCTGCAAGGAGCCACGTGCCGGTAGACGGGGCAGGGGACGAGTGTGAGAACCGATTCTGAACGGAGATGGAGGTGCCCCTGCCTGACACAGCGATGCAAGGTGCGCTGTGGACTCGACGGGGATGAGGGTTACCGGTCGAGGAAGGAAAGATCCCTTCAGAGGAGAGCGAGGCACCATTCTCTCTGCGCTTGCGTGCGTCCACCGCACGTGACAGCTGTGAGCATCTCAAGTCCTCTGAGAAAAGTACAAACACTAGGCGTGATGATACAGTAATAGTTGAAGAGCAAGGTTGTTTAAAGAAGTAGTAGAAATCAGATTAGACTTTGCCTTAATGAAGCGGGTTCTTGTTTTAAAACACTCCAATAGTCGATCCATGTTTTCTTCAAATCGCTATTCTGTCACTGGCTGTAGCTGTGAAAGCATCACTTCAAATCTCAATTTTAATGTTGGTCTTGTACATAATTTCACTGCTAATGTGTGCATTCAGGGTGGGAAATGAAACGTGTACAATATTTAATTGTAAACTTTTATAAATTAAAACGCTGAAAAAGATCTGTGGCGTAATTCTGTCTTGTGCAGCATGACAGTGGCAAAACCTCCAGGGCGTCTTGCGGCCTCCATGGCTTCCCGCCAGTGCCCAGAGGCCGCGGTGCTCCCGCCCCCCCCCCCCCCAGGCTCCCGCAGGCCTGGTGGTACTTGTGCATGCGCTGGCCAGAGAGCCAGGCGGCCCCCCTCCCGGGCCAGCCGTGCTGCCCCCTGCTCCCGCACCCCCTTGGCCCCGCTCTTCGGTGGCATGGGGCAAGAACGGCCACGCATCCTCGGAGGGTCCCCACCTCCTGCCCACACAAGAAGAGGCTCCAGAGTTCACTGTCCAGGAAGACTTGGCTATGAAAGGGGCTTAGGAGGTCGCCAGCCCCCTGGGGCTCACTTCTCAGACGGCCCTGGAATGCCTGCCCATGCCTGGGAGAGGCAGAATCCAGATTCTCACGACTCCAGCCAGGAAGAAGCCTCCCCCCACCTGGCCCTCATTCCAGATCTGGCCAGAGCTTGCTTGCTTGCTTGCTTGCATTATTTATTTACTTAAAGGTTTTATATGCCATCCCCTTGCTACATAGCCTCAGGATGGCTCACAGAAATAAATCAATAAACTACAATTACAATTAAAATCTGGAAACATACTGGATGCAAAATTAGAATATATAAATATTAAACATTGTTAAAATACTGTTTGAATAAAAAGCTTTCATCACAGTGTCTTTGAACCCCACAGCCTAAGATACTGTAAGACTCAGCGGCGGGGCTGCAGCGCGCCCCTGTGGCCACTGACGGAAATGGCTGTTGCTGCGCCTCTTAGGCATGAACGGAGTGCCTGCAGGGCCCCCCTGTGGCCACGGCGGGAAATGACGCCCGCTGCGCCTCCTAGGCATGAGCGGAGTGCCTGCAGCGCCCCCCTGTGGCCACGGCCGGAAATG